ACACACCACATCATAGGCGGCTTAAAGCAGACACCGAGATACAAAATATACCTTTTGAGAACAATTCACTGATTCTAAGCCAATCGTACATCATTTTATATACTATTACAAAATTTCAGCTCAGGTCTCTAATTGGTCTGTCCTGAAGTCATCTTTAACGAGAGTTGCTATAGGATTGGTGACTGAATTCGTGTTCAACTTTTTGTCTACTGTTGTTCGCATATATTGGTATAATATTCCCATAGCGCAAGTGTGATCCAAGTACTGGAAACGACATGTGTTTGCTAACGGAATCATTGTTGCAGTTTCAGTATACTATTTTACTCAACCCTTGCTCGCAGTATTTCAAGATCGTTTTCATGATTCTGGTACAGGGATTATACTATTATAGAAATTGTACTTTGCCTTATGAAAGCTGGCGTTGATTTCAGAAACAGTACTTCTCTATTATGGACAATTTCCTATTAGTTTTATGTTATCTTTCCTATTATGACTTTAATGTTATCATAGTTTCAGCAATTATTGGATGGGGTTGAGTCAAATCCAATAATTGTTTTATTATTCATTCTGTGACAGTAACAAATAAAACAAACAAAAATTAAAAACATATGAAAATTCATTACATTATTAACTTTTTATAAAATTTCCCGCCAATAGAGCTTATGCATGACGACGTCACAAGGCTTGATGCCCGCGAGAAATGCTGGTCCTATTAGTCATCGCCCGGTAAAATTTCGATACTGGCCATTTTGAATTGTTTAATTTTCCCGGGCGATGACTACTAAGACCAGCATTCCTCGCGGGTATCAAGCCTTGTGACGTCATTATGCATAAGGTCTATTTGTAATTTAACACAAAGCACGGCTGAAATATCTCGGGCTCCATCCAATAACTTCTACAGAATACTGTTTCGGTTGAAAATAGTGCAGGCACCTACAAATACGTAAAATTATTTGTAGGCTTTTAGCCAATGAAAAAACGACAACACAGCTATAGTACAATGAATGATAATCATAGTAATGTTACTGCATAATATTTTTTAAAGACTTTGGCATGGACATGTAAGATTTTAAAAACTTTTGTTTAACGTAATCTTGAAATGTATGAATTTTATTGTAACATGAACGACCCCTATCAATACCAGTGTCCAGTTCAAGCTGACTGGGGCAATATTAATCCTCTTTAAACAAAGTTGCCATATACTATACTATTACATAGACCCAATGGTCCACCAGACCCATACCATACCATACCATAATTTTGCTATGGTCCACCAGATCATAGCAAAATTTTGCATGTATATAATGAAAGAAATTGAAGTTCATTGTTCCACTACTGTATGAATAGCGGTTCGTTTCAAGTTGTCCGCCAGATGTCGTGTATCAGGAATGGGGTCTAGCCAGTTCTAGTAGGGAGTTTTAGTCGAACTTTGGCACTGATCTTATATCTAGGAGTGGATGGGGCAATCTTCAGGCAAATATCTTCTTTACCTAACTTGGAAGAGCTTCCTACAACCCTATACTAACGAGTTTAAGATCGCTTTAAACAGGAGATAAAGAGACTTGAAGTGGCCACAATGGAGTGACCTCATTACTTGTTCACGTAAAAGAGGCCACCATTTATAAATTTCTACTCAGACAATGTTTTCGTTTCGGCTGACTGCGAGGTCCTGGGAACGAGGATGTTACTGTCTTTGCTTCTCTGATATTATTAGGAACTTTAAGATTGACGTTTACAGCAAACCCCAAACAGCAAACTTCAAATCGCATTTGGAAAGAAGGACGAAAGTGTCGACAGCTAAAAGTAGCTAATTCATGCTCCAATTTTAGTGACAAGTTGCCCTAACTTCGAACAGTTGTCTTCAAATTACGATTTGAAGTTTGCCGTTCGCGGTTAGCGGTTTGCCCTAAACCTGTAAAGTCAATCTTAAAGTACCTATTAAGTGTTGTTACTGGACTTCATTCTCCTATCTCGAAACACAACAAGGTTTTACTTTCAGTGTTTAACAAATAACGTTATTCTCTGTTTAATTTGAAACAATTACTTTAAGGACGCAACTAGGTTAAAGTGCTTATTTCACAATGTTTTTTTTTTATTTTTATTTTTGGGTAGCGGACAAAACGTTAGTTAATAGCTTCTTTAACATTTTTCGGTTTTCTCTTTTCATTCGTGAGATATGCGGCTCTAAACAGCGATTTTCGTGAAAATGTGAGTAAAATGTCGCGTATCAACAAGAGTCTGGGACGAGCGTGGTGTGACGTAGCTAAAGGAACTTAATCACGCGGGCATTATACATTTATTTATATTTTGTATGCTTTCCAGCACTCATGGTTCTTAATGTGACTCAGAATACAATTATATTCCTGGGTATATTATAGAGGTTGATTTAAATGATACCAGTCACGAAATTGCAACTCTAGAAGCAGTTGATAGCAAACTTTTAGGCGATTATGATACATGCCTTTATGCCGATGAACCGCTACTAACCGAGCGAAGAATGCTACGCGCGATATCTAAAAAAATATGCGGAACACAAGGAACAAAACGAGATGCTACAGCGAAGATAGACGGCCTTGAATATATTAAATCATGGTGAGCATAAACATAGATTTATTTTAACATTTTAATTAACGTAAAATAAGTATCTCTGGCGGATATATTTTGGATACGGTCTTATACGGCATCAGTCAAATCATAGAGTTAAAACCACACTTCCCTCGCCTTCGCAAGAAAATACATGACACGCGATCAAAGAAGATATGAACAGACTGGTTCAGAGCAAATTACGTATGACAATGTATTCTTGTTTGAAGCTACAGTGTTTATCTGTAGCCTAATCACGTTTATTTAATATATACGAACGATTGTATTTTCTCGCGAGTTTTCTTAGAGCCCATTTTTCCAAACAAATAAGTCTGAATCCCGAGTGTAGAGTGGTACAGCACGGTGGCTGTGGCATATCTTCTAAAACCAAGTTATCCTTCAGAACTTCCCTACAAGATTCCATCTCCTGACAGCACCAAGAGCAGTTCGTGTGTATATTGTATACGTGTTATTACACAATCGCCGCATTTACACTTGTGAAATAAGATACAGGTGAGGGAAGTGTGGTTTGAGACTTTGAGTGGTTTGATGTGACTGATGCCGTATCAAAAATATATCAGCCAGAGATACTTATTTTACGCTGAAATGTTAAATAAATCTATGCTCACCATGATATAATATATTCAGTCTAATCTTCGCTGTAGCATCTCGTTTTGTTCCTTGTGTTCGGCATATTTTTTTAGATATCGCGACGGCGTGTAGCATTCTTCGCTCGCTTAGTAGCGGGCATCGGCATAAAGGCATGCATCATAATCGCCTAAAATTCGCTATCAACTGCTTCTAGAGTTCCGATTTCGTGACTGGTATCATTTGATTCATCCTCTATAATATACCCTGGAATATAATTGTATTCTGAGTCACATTGAGAACCATGAGTGCTGCAAAACTTTATTATTAGTTGTACTTTATTATTAGTTGTACTCACAAAAAATGTAAATAAAAATAATTTATAACTTTATAAAGTTAATTTGTATTAGTGGACCTCATATATCTTGAACCTGACATTATCTGACACTATTCTCCTTTGTTATATTAGTTTGTTTTTTAAATTTTTTAGGGTGGACTACTAGAAAAGCCCTGACGGGCTTGTTAGTCTTCCTTCCATATGAATTGTATCTTTATATTTTATCAAAACTGTAACTGTATAATGGAAAAATAAAATATCTATCTATAAAACATACAAAATATAAAGAAATGTATAATGCCCGTCGTGATTAAGTTCCTTAAGCTACGTCACACCACGCTCGTCCCAGACTCTTGTTGACACCCGACATTTTTACGAAAATCGCTGTTTAGGGCCGCATATCTCGCGAATGAAAAGAAAAAACCGAAAAATGTAAGAACCTATTAACTAACTTTTTGTCCGCTACCCAAAAATCAAAAAAAAATTTGCGACATAAGCACTTTATTAAGTCAACTTGGTAATCAACTGACATTTTCTCAATGTTGGAAGAAATAATCGGTTGTCTCTTGTCATTGTTGTCTGCCTTAACTTTGGATGCGCCACAACTACAAGTCCATCGAACCAACGAACACGCTACACATGGGTGGATAAATAAACTACCGTCAGAAACAGAGTATGTATACAAGTAGGGTATGAACTGCGAAACAAGCCTAGTTATATCCAGTCGTTACTCAGAAGTCTGAAGGCGAACTTTACCATAACCTTAGCTGTACTGCCTTTGGTGCTTATAGGGATGGCTATTATATATTTTGATTTAAGAAGAGTCGATTTATGTTCGGAAATGGAGAATAAAAACTACAATTTTTCATTTGATGTTAGGAGAATAAGATTAATCGGCAAAGTATTTCAGAAAGTGATATTGTATCTCTCGTTTCCCTTGTCTTTGCTTGTCTTATTTTGTTGGACAGAATTTAAGCGTCATTATTCCTCAACTATCTTAGTGGACCGACTGGCTGGTTATTTAATACATTATATTTAAGTTTTTACTCGTATATGGTATTGATGATACCAGTCTAATTAAAGTTTACCACCTAGTGTGCCACCTACGCCAAGAAGTTTCACATTTGGCTTATGACGAAATTTTATGTAATACTAGTTTCTGATTGGCTGAAACTTATATGGTATCAGCTGCAATGCTGAATTCTATCGCACTTATCACCTAATTCGAAGCATTTGGCTCATAAAAAGCGCGACATTTGAATCAAATATTAAAGTTCGACATCTATTCTATCCATTCCATATTGGTTCACATGTAATTAATAAAATAATTAACCTAATATATTGCCGGTTGACGCACCATGTATTTCCGTTTCCGCATTTCTGATATAAGATATCATGCAAGCACAACTGCATTGTAGCACAACTGCATCTGACTTTAAATAAATAGGCAACTTGGTCAAATAAACTTTGCTAATCGATTGATATTTTCACAATGTTAGAAGAAATAATCGCTTGTTTTTTGTCCTTGTTTTCTGGCTTAACTTTGGATGCTCCACGACTTTCTCGAGAATTGAACGACAGTACAAGTCCATCGAACCAACGAACACGCTATACATGGGAGGATACAATTCACAAAGAATACGTCTCGTTTGAAGAAGATAATCTACCATCAGAAACAGAGTATGTACAACTAGGGTATGAACTGCGAAACAAGCCTAGTTATATCCAGTCGTTACTCAGAAGTCTGAAGGCAAACTTTACCATAACCTTAGCTGTACTGCCTTTGGCACTTATAGGGATAGCTCTTATATATTTTGATTTAAGAACAGTTGATTTATGTTTGCAATGGGAGGATAAAAACTATACTCTCTCATTTGATGTTAGGAGAATACGATTAATCGGCAAAGGATTTCAGAAAGTGATATTGTATCTCTGGTTTCCATTGTTTCTTGTTGTTTTATTTGGTTGGAGCGAATTTAAGCGTCATTATTCTTCAACTATCTTAGTAGGCCAACTGGCTGGTTTATTTAATACATTATATTTAACTTTTTTACTCCTATATGGTATTCATAATACCCGTTCGATCAAAAGTCACGACGTTCCAGCAATTTTAACATTTGCTGTCGCTACTCTCTGGGAATCTGCAATCGTGGTGCGCAATATTCGAATTCAACAAAATCAACCAACTGTATCCTACTCAGGTCGCCATATTTTCTCGGTTCTTGCAGTACCAGCATTGAGCACCTTGGCAATGGCAGTGTTTTACAAATACGCGGTTGTTAAGTGGTTTAATTCTCTCGATAATGTGTTGTATCAATTCATATTGGCCATCTTGACACCGACCTTAGCACTGGTGCCAACTACTATATGTAGGCATATGGCATTATGGCGTACTTCAGAGATTATCGAGCCAGAGCGAAGCTTCGCGTTGGTTTATTTCATACGGGCAATGTTCATTACTCTGTATCGTATCATGCAATCAGATTTTGAAAATATCTGGTTGTTTGTCGGGCTATCTCTTCTATCTGGTGTTTCGAGCCTGCTTAAAACAGCGACTGTTGGTATTCGTGAGAAAGTATGGGTGCGAGTTATCAGGTTTCTGAACAGAACTTGTTGTGCAAGACTTCACCATTTGCCTGGAAACACACCACATCATAGGCGGCTGAAAGCAGACACCGAGATACAAAATATACTTTTTGAGAACAATTCACTGATTCTAAGCCAATCGTACATCGTTTTATATACGATTACAAAATTTCAGGTCTGTGATTGGTCTGTCGTGAAGTCATCTTTAACGAGAATTGCTATTGGATTGGTGATTGAATTCGTGTTCAACTTTTTGTCTACTTTTATTCGGATACATTGGCATAATATTCCCATAATGCGAGTGTATTCGAAGTACTGGAAACGACATGTGTTTGCTAACATTATCGTTGTTGCAGTTTTAGTATGCTACTTTACTAACCCCTTGGTCGCAATATTTCAAAATCGTTTTCATGATTCTGGTGCAGGGAATTATACTATTAGAAACTGTACTCTGCCTTATGAAAACTGGCGTTGATCTCAGAAACAGTCGTTTGCAAATGTGTGGTGTGATCACTCATACTTCTCTATTAATTACGCACAATTTCCTAATATCTTTAGTATATAATATACACTTAATGTCTGCACCCGAGGGAAATAGTTATTTATCTAAAGCCACGTGACTACAAATCAGCCAATCACGTTTGGTGTTCACACTAGCTATATAACAATTCCTATTATGACTCTAATGTTATCATAGTAATGTCACTGCATAATATTTCCAATGACGACTTTAGCATGGACATGTTAGATTTAACTTTTATTTAAAGTGGCACTCTCGTCAAAATTTTTATTTTCTTAAACGAAACTGTTCTTAAAACTGTATAGTAACTTCTTTTGAAGATATTTGTTCCCATGCTTAGTTCTTGAGATATTTCATTTTGTTTGTAACCATGTGACGTCATTTACTCAATTACATATATAATGAGATATCATTAATTGTTGTGTATCTTTGCTATTTTTGATGGAATTGTTTTTAGAAAACCAGTATGTTTAATGGTGTAGATTAAATTAACAAACCCGCCGCATCTTTGGAAAGATTTTGATAAAAATACCAAAGATACACAACAATTACTGATGTCTCATTTTATTATATACACAAGGTCTGGATATGAGGTATTCTGCAATCTGATTGGTTCTCTACTAGCAGGATATTAGCTCATATCCTGCTAGTAGCGAAAAACAAAATGGCGGCTGAAACTGAATTTCCGACGTTTGCGAATGAGAAAACGGCAAGTTGTTCGCTTTTTATCATTAGCCTTTACATTATCTTTTTATCATTAGCCTTATCATTAGCCTTTATTTTCACAACCACTTCTCTGTGCCTCGCAAGGACGTTTTTGAGACTATCAATCCAATTTTTCTCTGATGGTGAGCATTGCCAACAAGTAAGTGGTGTAGCCATGGGAACTAATATGGGTCCTAAACTATGACAAATAATTTGTTGGTTTTGTGGCAAAACAGATCTTCGAACAATACACTGATACGATATATATGATTACCTTGGTAAGTTTTATTAACTTTGTTTATTATTCCCATCCAGCACTCCAATTCACATGTAAGGTCAGTGTAACCAGTGTACCATTCTTATATATTCTTGTATCAATCAATCAGTCAATAGAATAAACTGGTTATTTCTGTATTATACAAGCCCACTGACTCCCGCAACTACGTTCTACACGGTTAAAAACGCACAGGTTGTTTCAGTTGATATCAACAGGCGTGAACAATGTTTTGCGGCCAACTATGAACAAGTTGTCAACCATGTTGTTCCAAGTTGTTACAGTTGAACAATCCTGTAACAACATGTTGACAATACTGTTCATAGTGGGCCGCACAACCTTGTTCACGCCTGTTGATATCAACCTGAAACAAGTTGTTGATTTTCTCAATTTTTACGCGTATAATTTATTCTTCCCACACCAACCACACCAAAAGGTCGATTCCCTTCTTTCAGTTCCTTCGTCTTCGCCGCATTTGCAGTGAAGATGAGGACTTCCAAGCCAAAAGTCTGGAAATGAGGGTTAATCAAAGTTACAAACGATATCCTGCTAAAAATGAACTCGCAAGAAGTTACTTTACTGGTTACACTTGATCTAAGTTCCGCGTTTGACACTGTCAATCACGAAATATTGCTTCGCCGTCTCCGAAATGAGTTTGGCATTCACGGAAAAGTCTTGGATTGGTTCAAATCATACCTGCACAACAGAGGTCAGCAAATTTCTATCGAAGGTATACTATCCCAACGTTTCGATTTGGACTCAGGAGTTCCACAAGGGTCGTGCTTGGGTCCCCTTCTTTTTATTATATATGCATCCAAGCTGTTTAAAATAATTGAAGATCAGCTTCCCGACTCACATGGTTATGCCAACGATACACAGCTCTACCTCAGTTTTAAGCCAAGTTTAAGTACGTCACTCGGTACAACTATGGACAGTATCTGACGACACCGTCCCGTACACATTACAGCTTTCATTCCCTGATCTTGAAGATTACAATTGTGGGAGAAAATTCCGTTTATGCGCATGCCTAAAACGAATGAACACGGAGATGTGTTTCTGCGCGTGCGTATATATGAAAAGTGTTCGTACCACAATCATAAGACAATCAAACAGCATTCAAAACCGGCAACACACCACGCGCGATTCCCTCGGCAACTATGATATTACAAAGTAATAGCATGGCATTACGGTCGATTAGTGATGAAATCTCCCCCAAGCCTCGAGGGGTTTAGTAAAAGTAGACCTCTCTCGGCTTTCGGGTACATTTAATCACTAATCGCCCTGAATGCCATGCTATTACTTATAATTAATTTATGTTTTGAACGGAAGACTAAAACTACACTTTTTCATATGATGTTAGAACTGAATTAAATTAATCGGCAAAGTATTTCAGAAAGTGATATTGTATCTCTCGCTTCCCTAGTCTTTGATTGTTTTATTTGGTTGGAGCGAAATTAAGCGTCATTATTCCTCAACTATCTAAGCCAACTGGCTGGTTTATTTAATACATTATATTTAAGTTTTTTACTCCTATATGGTTAGTATCGATCATACCAGCCTAATCAACAGTTACTACGTTCCACCAACTTTACCATTTGCTGTCGCTATATTCTGGGAATCTGTACTTGTCGTGCGCAATATTCCACAAAATCAACCAACTGTATCCTACTGAGGTCGCCATATTTTCTTGGTTTTTGCAGTGCCGGTATTGAGCACCTTGGCAATGCCAGTGTTTTACAAATACGCGGTTGTTAAGTGGTTTAATACACTCGATAAGGTGTTGTAGAAATTCATATTGGCCATCTTGACACCGACCTTATCACTGGTGCCGACTACCACATATAGGCACATGGCATTATGGCGTACTTCAGAGATTATCGAGCCATGCAGAATGAAGCTTTGCGTTGGTTTATTTCATACGGGCTTCCTTCATTACTTTGTATCGTATCATGCAATCAGACTTTAAGAATATCTGGCTGTTTGTCGAGCTATCTCCTCAATCAGAGGTGTTCGTGAGTAAGTATGGGCGCGAGTTATAAGGTTTCTGAACGCAACTTGCTGTACAAGACTTCACCATTTGCATGGAAAGACACCAAATCATAGGCGACTTAAAGCAGACACGGATATACAAAACTGTTATACTTTTTGAAAATAATTCACTGATTCTAAGCCAATCATACATCGCTTTTTATACGATTACAAACTTTCAGCTCTCTGATGGGTGTGTCCTGAAGTCATCTTTAACGAGAATTGCTATTGTGTCGAAGGACTGGAAACTACATATGTTTGCTAACGGAATCGTTGTTGCAGTTTCAGTATGCTATTTTACTAAACTCTTGCTCGTAGTTATTTTACTATTTTACTAAACCTTTGCTCGTGGTTAAAGCAGACACCAAGATACTGATTCTAAGCCAATCATACATCGTTTTATATACGATAACAAATTTTTAGCTCTCTCTTTGATTGGTCCATCGTGAGGTCATGCTTAACGAGAATTGCTATTGGATTAGTGATTCAATTCGTGTTCAATTTTTTGTCCACTTCTATTCGCATAAATTGGCATGATATTCCCATAGCGCTAGTGTGGTCGAAGTACTGGAAACGACATGTGTTTGCTAACGGAATCGTTGTTGCAGTTTTAGTATCCTACTTTACTAACCCCTTGTTCGCAATATTTCAAGATCGTTTTCATGATTCTGGTGCAGGGAATTATACTATCAGAAATTGCACCCTGCCTTATGAAAGATGGCGTTGATTTCAGAAACGGTCGTTTGTTGTAACCTCTCCTTACATAGGTAAAGCTCCATACAGTTATATCAAAGCGGTCAGTGTAGAAACACGCGGATGCATTGACATCATAACAGCATTTGGTAACAGGAGTCATAATTGTTTTGTCTTGGTATGTGTCGAGATAATTAATGTTTACCACCTAGTGTGCCACCTATGCAAGACGTTTCACATTTGGCTTATAATGACGTAATTTTATGTAATACTAGTTTCTGATTGGTTAAGATTTACATGGTTTCAGCTGCACCGCTGAATTATATCGCACTTATGGCCTAATTCGAAGGTTTTGGCTCATAATAACCGCGACATTTGAATCAAATAAGTTCGACATCTATTCTAACATTATATATTGGTCCACATGTAACTAATAAAATAATTAACCTGATAAATTACCGGTTGACGTGCCATGTATCTCTGTTTCCGCATTTCTGTTGTAAGATATCATGCATACATAACTGCATTGTTATATGTGACTTTAAATAAAGAGGTGACTTGGTTAAATAAACTTTGCCAATCGATTGATTATTGATATTTTCATAATGTTGGAAGAAATAATCGCTTGTTTTTTCTCATTGTTTTCTGCCTTAACTTTGGATGCGCCACGACTTTCTCGAGAATTGAACGACAATACAAGTCCATCAGAACAACGTACACGCTATACATGGGAGGATAAAATTCACAAAGAATACGTCTCGTTTGAAGAAGATAATTCGCCATCACAAATAGAGTATGTACAACTAGGGCGTGAACTGCGAAACAAGCCTACTTATATCCAGTCATTACTCAGAAGTTTGAAGGCGAACTTTACCATAACCTCAGCTGTACTGCCTTTGGCACTTATAGGGATGGCTCTTATATATTTTGATTTAAGAACAATTGATTTATGTTCTGAATGGGAGGCTAAAAACTTCACTCTTTTATTTGATGTTAGGAGAATAAAATTAATCGGCGAACGATTTCAGACAGCTATATTGTATCTCGCGGTCCCCTTCCTTTTGCTTGTCTTATTTGGTTGGACAGAATTTATGCGTCATTATTCCTCAACTATCCTAGTAGGCCTACTGGCTGGTATATTTAATACATTATTTTTAAGTTTTTTACTCCTATATGGTATTGATGATACTAGTTCAATCGTAACTTACAACCTTCCTGGAAATTTAATGTTTCCTGTCGCTACTCTCTGGGAATCTGCAATTGTGGTGCGCAATATTCGACAAAATCAACCAACTCTGTCCTACTCAGGTCGCCATATTTTCTCGGTTCTTGCAGTACCGGTATTGAGCACCATGGCAATGGCAATATTTTACAAATACGCGGTTGTTAAGTGGTTTAATTCCCTCGATAATGTGTTGTATAAATTCATATTGGCCATCTTGACACCGACCTTAGCACTGGTGCCGACTACCATATGTAGGCATATGGCATTATGGCGCACTTCAGGGATTATCGAGCCAGAGCGAAGCTTTGCGTTGGTTTATTTCATACGGGCAATGTTCATTACTTTGTATCGTATCATGCAAGCAGATTTTGAAAACATCTGGCTGTTTGTCGGGCTATCTCTTCTATCTGGTGTCTCGAGTTTACTTAAAACAGCGACTGTTGGTATTCGTGAGAAAGTATGGGCGCGAGTTATCAGGTTTCTGAACAGAACTTGCTGTACAAGACTTCACCATTTGCCTGGAAACACACCACATCATAGGCGGCTTAAAGCAGACACCGAGATACAAAATATACTTTTTGAGAACAATTCACTGATTCTAAGCCAATCGTACATCGTTTTATATACGATTACAAAATTTCAGCTCTCGGATTGGCCAGTATTGAAGCCATCTTTAACTAGAATTGCTATTGGATTAGTGATTGAATTCGTATTCAACTTTCTGTCTACTTTTATTCGCATACAGTGGTATAATATTCCCACAGCGCGAGTGTGGTCCAAGTATTGGAAACGACATGTGTTTGCTAACGCAATCATTGTAGCAGTTTTAGTATACTATTTTACTCAACCCTTGCTCGCAGTATTTCAAGATCGTTTTCATGATTCTGGTACAGGCAATTATACTATTAGAAATTGTACTCTGCCTTATGAAAGCTGGCGTTGATTTCAGAAACGGTCGTTTGGAAATGTGCGGTGTGATCTCTCCTTAGTTCCCTATTACGGACAATTTCCTAATATCTCTATGTTACCTATTATGACTTTAATGTTATCATAGTATTATAGTTATGTTACTGCATTTATTTGAAGTGACATTGAAATGTTTGAATTTTATTGTAACATGCACGACCCCTATATGAATACCAGCGTCTAGTTCAAGCTGACTGGGGCAATTCTGTTTAAATAAACGTTTTCATATAACTAGATACAATATTATACAAATCCATTGCACCAACAGACCCATAGCAAAAATGTTCATGTAATGAAAGAAATTGAAGTTCATTATTCCACTACTGAGCAGCGGTTCGTTTCAAGTTGTCTGTCATGTATGAGGGATGGATCTAGCCAGTTCTGGTAGGGGGTTCTAGTCGAGCTTTGGCACTGAGAAGTAGCAAATGGACAAGCGCTTTCTTTACTTCACATTAAACGTACATACATAACATTAACAATTTTCTTATAATTTTTTAAGTCTTTAAGATGTTTACAGTGGCACTTCGAAACGGAATATTTGGCAATTGACACAAATAACCGCATAGTTTACACCAAAAACTAATAATTTGAGACCACATTGTATTCTCACAAGCGTATGAATAATCAAGTAGACATTCGTAAAATACTCAATATCGAAAAACGAAACCATGCTGTGCGATTTCCAAAGATTCGAAAGCTCTTTACAAAAATATTCTTACCGACTATTGACTGGTTTCGCGGTTGTGAAAATATTCGCAGCAATGTGAACAACATGTTTACAAGGTTTTACTTCCCTGTCAGCCATTCTATCTTATTGCCTATTGGAATGTTATTTTTTCACTATTTTGGAGTAATTTTCAAACAGGATCTTAAAACGGAATAATCATGTAGCCGTTCTTTAAACTAGGGATCCAAGCTCTGTTGACGACGGCAAAATGCATATTTTCACGTCTTGTAAAGTACGCTAGCATTTCAAGCCGTGGCAGGCGATTTTTCTAACAGCGTTGATCAAAATTGCTCTGAAGGTTAAAGCTCTGTTTTACTCGTTCTAAACTGTATTAAATTCATCAAGAAAACACAGGACAACATTTTCATACATTTATTTATTTCAAAAAGTTTGGTTAGCCGTCGTTCCGACGCCGCCGTCGTACACGCGTAAACTCCCTATTAATACGACGACGACGACTGCTGCCGAAGGACTAAGAAATTGTTTTTTTTCAATACAAATAAAATACAAATGGCTTCTTCCGTTTGTTTTGAATTTTTTAAATAAATAATAAAACAATTATTGAATTCGGTTTTCGCACCAATATGAAGAATTATCAAGCCCTCAGTAGTGCCGTTATCAACCTCAGCCTTCGGCTTCGGTTGATAACGGCAAACTTGGGGCTTGATAATTCTTCATATGGTGCTCAACCTCATTCAATAATTGTTAAATATCAAAATAATATTATACCTCAAATTCGAATTGTCCAATGAAAAACAGCATTTGTACCACGTGATAATGTGATCTTTTACGGTATTTCACTCAAATTCATGATTTCGCAATCCAGCGTGAGATACTATAATATCCCACGGCAGATCCACCGCCCAATGGGATATTATAGTATCCCACGCTCACGCGCGACGCGTGGACACCACGCTCTGAAAAAATATGGCGTTCGCGAGCTGTTGTTGGTAATTTCGTATTTTCGTACAGAATATTCGACTTAACAAAACATTTTCAAGACGTATGTTACCTTTAATGATCCAAAGGGTACATGCTCAAATATTTTAAAGAGGAAACGTCAAAAACTCAGGTATACATAAGAAATTAAAAATTGTATTCGCGTATTTTATAATATTCAGCAAGTTTTATTTAAAAAAGTTTATTCTGAACTTAGTGAGTTCTTTAACTTTCGGTATAATATATCATTTATAGACCCTCCGCTCGGGGGATTCGGCGATATTTCCCTCAGTGATGATATTTTCCTCGGGGCAAAGCCCCTCGGAAAATATCATCACTTCGGGAAATATTACGCCGAATCCCCCTCGCTCCGGGTCTATAAATGATAATTATCCCATACATAATCTCTATGCAGTCATATCAAAGTGGTTAGTGCAGAAACACGCGTCAGTAAAGCTCCATACAGTTACATGTAAGCGGTCAGTGCAAAAAAGCGCGTGAGTAAAGCTCCATACAGTTATATCATCAAAACGGTCAGTGATGCATTGACATCATAACAATATTTATAACGTATGGAATCTAATTCGAAGCATTTGGCTTATAATCGCGACATTAGAATCAAATAAGTTTCATGACACCAACATTAAGTTCGACATCTTGGTTCACACGTAATTAAAATAATTAACCTGATAATATATTGCCGGTTCCCGCCTATCTCTGTTTCCGCATTTCTGATCAGCAAGACATACAGCCTCTGTATGCGTGCATAACCGCATTCTATATGCATGTGACTTTAATTTAAATTGAATAAATAGGTAACTTGGTTAAATAAACTTGCCAATCAAATGATATTTTCACAATCTTGGAAGAAATAATCGCTTGTTTTTTTGTCATTGTTTTCCGCCTTAACTTTGGATGCGCCACGACTTACTCGGCGAGAAATGAACGACACTACAAGTCCATCGGAGCAATGTACACGCTATACATGCGAAGATAAAAATTCACATAAAATACGTCTCGTTTGAAGAAGAGAACCCACCATCAGAAACAGAGTTTATACCCTAGTTGTAAGGTATAAACTGCGAAACAAGCCCAGTTATATCCAGTCATTACTCAGAAGTCTGAAGGCGAACTTTACCATAACCTTAGTTGTACTGCCTTTGGCATTTATAGGGATGGCTCCTATATATTTTGATTTAAGAACAATTGATTTATGTTCTGAACGGAAGACTAAAACTACACTTTTTCATATGATGTTAGGAGAACTGAATAAGGTTAATCGGCAAAGTATTTCAGAAAGTGATACTGTATCTCTCCTTTCCGGCCTTGTCTTTGATTGTTTTATTTGGTTGAAGCGAAATTAAGCGTCATTATCCCTCAACTATCTTAGTAAGCCAACTGCCTGGTTTATTTAATACATTATATTTAAGTTCTTTACTCCTATATGGTTAGTAGTATCGATCATACCAGATTATATAATACCTTATTAAATTCTAATCGTTTAATTGGCTGTTTATGGTCACGTGATATTGAATAGAAAATTCCATTTCCCAAGAGTGCAATGGAACACGTTCCATTGCACTCTCCGCGAGTGCAATGGAATAAAACGTATAGTACAATTGCACTCGTTGTGTTTTCGATAAATCGCATCCCTCAAAATGCTTCTCATACGAATCTATTAGTCTATTTTGGTATTATATAAAACAAATAATGAATGTTTCTTCGTGCAATGGTAAGAATATTTTCATTCGATGAAAGATGGAATGTTCCATTCAACTCGGCTGTCGCCTCGTTGAATGGAACATTCCATCTTTCACCTCATGAAAATATTCTTACCATTGCACTCATAAACATTCATTATTTGTATACTAATCAATAGTTACTACGTTCCACCAACTTTACCATTTGCTGTCGCTATTTTCTGGGAATCGGCACTTGTGGTACGCAATATTCGACAAAAGCATCAAACTGTATCCTACTGAGGTCGCCATATTTTCTCGGTTTTTGCAGTACCAGTATTGAGCACCCTGGCAATGCCAGTGTTTTACAAATACGCGGTTGTTAAGTGGTTTAATACGCTCGATAAGGTGTTGTAGAAATTCATATTGGCCATCTTGACACCGACCTTAGCACTCTGGTACTGACTACTATATGTAGAGAGATTATCGAGCCAGAACGAAGCTTTGCGTTGGTTTATTTCGTACGGGCTTCCTTCATTACTTTGTATCGTACCATGCAATCAGACTTTAAGAATATCTGGCTGTTTGTCGAGCTATCTCCTCAATCCGAGGTGTTCGTGAGAAAGTATGGGCGCGAGTTATAAGGTTTCTGAACGCGACTTGCTGTACAAGACTGCACCATTTCCCTGGAAAGACACCACATCATAGGCGGCTTAAAGCAGGCACCGAGATACAAAACTGATATACTTTTTGAAAACAATTCACTGATTCTAAGCCAATCATACATCGCTTTTTATACGATTACAAACTTTCAGCTCTCTGATTGGTCTGTCCTGAAGTCATCTTTAACGAGAATTGCTATTGGATTAGTAATTGAATTCGTGTTCAACTTTTTGTCTACTTTTGTTCGCATACATTGGCATAATATTCCCATAGCGCGAGTGCGGTCGAAGGACTGGAAACTACATATGTTTGCGAACGGAATCGTTGTTGCAGTTTTAGTATGCTATTTTACTAAACTCTTGCTCGTAGTTATTTTACTATTCACTAAACCCTTGCTCGTAGTTAAAGCAGACACCAAGATACAAAATATACTTCTTGAAAACAATTCACTGATTCTAAGCCAATCATACATCGTTTTATATACGATTACAAATTTTTAGCTCTCTCTTTGATTGGTCCATCGTGAGGTCATGTTTAACGAGAATTGCTATTCAGGATTAGTGATTCAATTCGTGTTCAATTTTTTGTCTACCTTTATTGGCATAGATTGGCATGATATTCCCATAGCGCTAGTGTGGTCGAAGTACTGGAAACGACATGTGTTTGCTAACGGGATCATTGTTGCAGTTTTAGTATGCCATTTTACTAACCCCTTGCTCGCAATATTCCAAGATCGTTTTCATCATTCTGGTGCAGAGAATTATACTATTAGAAATTGTACTCTGCCTTATGAAAGATGGCGTTGATTTCAGAAACGGTCGTTTGTTGTAACCTCTCCTTACATAGGTAAAGCTCCATACAGTTATATCAAAGCGGTCAGTGTAGAAACACGCGGATGCATTGACATCATAACAGCATTTGGTAACAGGAGTCATAATTGTTTTGTCTTGGTATGTGTCGAGATAATTAATGTTTACTACCTAGTGTGCCACCTATGCAAGACGTTTCACATTTGGCTTATAATGACGTAATTTTATGTAATACTAGTTTCTGATTGGTTAAGACTTACATGGCTTCAGCTGCACCGCTGAATTATATGGCACTAATCGCCTAATTCGAAGGACTTGGCTCATAAACATCTATTCTACCCATTCCATATTGGTCCACATGTAACTAATAAAATAATTAACATGATAAATTGCCGGTTGGCGCGCCATGTATCTCTGTTTCCGCATTTCTGATCTAAGATATCATGCATGCATAACTGCATTGTATATGTGACTTTAACTAAAAAGGTGTCTTGGTTAAATAAACTTTGCAAACCAATTGATATTTTCACAATGTTGGAAGAAATAATCGCTTGTTTCTTGTCACTGTTTTCTGCCTTAACTTTGGATACACCACGACTTTCTCGGCGAGGAAGTCCAAGTCCATCGAACCAACGAACACGCTATACATGCGAGGATACAATTCACAAAGAATACGTCTCGTTTGAAGAAGATAATCTACCATCAGGAACAGAGTATGTACAACTAGGGTATGAACTGCCAAACAAGCCTAGTTATATCCAGACATTACTCAGAAGTTTGAAGGCAAACTTTACCATAACCTTAGCTGTACTGCCTTTGGCGCTTATAGGGATGGCTCTTATATATTTTGATTTAAGAACAGTTGATTTATGTTCTGAATGGGAGGCTAAAAACTACACTTTTTCGTTTGATGTTAGCAGAGTAGGATTACTCGGCAGAGGAATTGTGAGCGTGATATTGTATCTCGCGGTTCCCTTGTTTTTCATTGTCTTATTTGGTTGGAGAGAATTTAAGCGTCATTATTCCTCAACTGTCCTCGTTGGCCAACTGGCTGGTTTATGTAATACATTATTTTTAACTTTTTTACTCCTATATGGTATTGATCACACCAGTCCAATCAAAAGTTACTCGGACGTTCCACCATTTTTAATATTTGCTGTCGCTACTCTCTGGGAATCTGCAATCGTGGTGCGCAATATTCGACAAAATCAACCAACTCTATCCTACTCAGGTCGCCATATTTTCGCGGTT